TCTCATTATTCCTTCACTATTCTCTCTCTTTCTCTCTCTCTCTCTTTCTATCTCTCTCTCTCTATCTCTCTCTCTCTCTCTCTCCCTCTCTCTCTCTCTCTCCCTCTATCCCTCTCTCTCTATCTGCTTCTCTGCGTCTCTTACTCTATCTCCACCATCATCTTTCCCATTTGACTATTACACTAACTTCATTTACTCACATTTTCCCCGTCCCTCTTTCTTCCGATGTCATTCCAATTTCTCTTCACGTTTTAACCTACTTCCACCCAATTCCACATTTCTTTTCTTTCTTAGCCTTCTCACACACTCTCTATCCACTCTCTTTCCATGTCCCTCTCCTTTCTCTTCACCCCCACCCAAACCACAGCCATGCCGAACTGAATTAACTTCCCAACCAACCCTTAAAAATTAATTCGTTCCTCAGACTCCTTATCTTTTTTCTCACACCTTTCCACTGACCTTTTCGCTGGCTATCTAAGTTATTTCTCCTTTTCTTTCCTTTTCTCTTTTGGACTCCCCCCCATGCCTCCTTTGTTCTCAAAGTAGTCATATTTTCCTACATTCCTATCACGTCCCTCTCCCTCCCATTTATCACGTCCAAACTTTCTTTCTCAAACTCTGTAGGCCCTACTGTAATTTCCCGCAATTACAGTAATTCACTCCCCCCCCCCTCTCTCTCTCTCTCTCTCTGTCATTCTCCACCTCCATTTCACCTCACCCCTTTATTCATCTCTCATGTGTTTCTATATCCACCATCTACCTGTCTTGCAAAAGACAAAGAGACTTCGAATGCTGAAAAAAAAAACGGCTACGCAAGTGTAGATTTATTTTCCTTTAATAAGTTAAAATGGATATGACCTGATAAGACACCTAAAACTATGAGAACTGCAAAACCTATTCCAAGGAAAAAGAATTTAGAGATTCTTACTTTCAGTTATAGAATATAATATCCTTTGTATTATTCGAAACTATGAAAAATTAGTTCAGTTTTGTCAAAGTATTAGTGATCATTATTCTCATGACGTGCCAGATCTGACCTGATACAGATCTTTGTCATTATGCTTTGTCATTCATTTATTTACTTTGATGTTCTAAAAAATAAACCTCCATGTTATTATTCTGGTTATTCTATTGTTCAATATGTGTCAGCAACTGAAACAAGTTGTACTAGATCTGCGTGCACAATTACGAGACGTAAAACTCTCAGGTAATAGCCGTACAGTTGTGTGCCTTAATACAATCTTTCTCCTAAGTTTTAAAGTGTGACTTTAAATTATAAATTCACGACCACGACATTTAGAATAAGATACTCTGATTAGAAACAAAAACAACAATGACAACAATAACAATGACAGAAACGACAAAAACAAAAAACAAAAACAAAACAGCAAATACAACAACAACAAAAACAACAACAATAACAACAACAACAACAGCAACAACAACAACAACAACAACAACAACTGCAACATACCACTCTGTCAGTAATCTACGTGACAAGGAAATAAAACAGGAACAGGAAACAAAGGCGTAATAAGATTTTCACTTCCTTAGCTTTCTCGTTGTAAGAGTTGATAGTCTGCATATTTTTTCTGTCTTTCAGTCATCCTGCTGGAAGCCTACTAAGAAGGTGAAATCTAGCACCAGAAGTACAAAGCAAAACAGAACGAAACAACAAAACGAGGGGTAGTGGATGGTGTTAGTTACGCGTTTTGGTATCAAAGTTGAAAAGGAGAGAGAGAGAGAGAGAGAGAGAGAGAGAGAGAGAGAGAGAGAG